ATAACACCAAAATGTAATTTTGCCATTTAAAATGAGACTATAAGCAGCAGCTTCATAAGTTATAGAAGAATGCATTGTAAAATATGGATTTTCCTTCTTCTTCTTCTTTTTTTTTTTTTTTTTTTTTTTTTTTTTAATTTAAAACCACAATCAGATCTACTAGCTGCCCTCAACAGTGCATCAAAAGAAATATTTCCAGAAATTATAGCTTTTAGGATATGCAATTGGTAGACTTACATGAAAACCAGTTTGTGTTTTGAAACATTTTTGTCAGAGTCACAAAATGTCCCACATACATAATTAGAACATACCTTCAACTGGATACTTCTGGCTAGGAACCCTATTGTTTAGATCAAGGCAAGAAGAAACTCCTTTCTTGAATGCTAAAAGTGTTTTTTAGCCCTAAAACTTTTAACTGACAATCAAAAATTCTAATACCTTTTCTAATTTTGTTCTATATTCAGAATGGTCTCAATTTCTCAAAAGTAGTTTTTAGCTTCCACAAATTCATACGTGCATCCTTTAAAATCAATGCAGCTTCAGAAGGGAGTTTGAAAGCCCCAGCATCATTATTTTCCCTAAAATATAAATCATCAGTGTGCAGTGAAAAATTTAACATTTCAAAAATTTGGTTTCTATTTTTCCTATATTGTTCTAAATGACTTTCTGTTGTTCTGCTTAAAATAAAGGCAATGACTTACAACCAAATGGCCAGCATATCATGCATATTATTTTGTAGTCTTCATCTGTATTATCTGGTATCCTTAAGAAAATTTCCAGTGCTCTTCAACAACTCTAGTCATCAAAAATGTTTTCTGCATATCAACACTAAAGGCAATTTTGAATTTCCTAAAATTTGGAATAATGTCCAGCTTATTGGGATTTGAATGGTCTGTTTAAAAGGAGACTTACTTTTGTTTTCAAACTACTGAAAATCGTGCAAACTCTAGTAGAATCAGTTTTCACAGCTGCTGTGTGTGGCATGAAATACTGTTTTGCATTCCTAAAGTTTTCATAAATAATTCCTTTACCCTGCTAATCTTTATTCATTTGCTAACCATTCATTTTTTCTGAAATTATTTTTTTAAAGCCTTAACTCTTTGTTTAGGTAGAGGTTAAACATTAAACCAGGTAGTTTGATTACCCATAACAAACAAGTTTCGTATCTTCCATCTACAAGCCTCAAATTATTTAACTAAATTTTCAGCTGCAACTGACAATTTGAATATGTAATTCTTAAAAATTTTAAATTGCACATCATTTCCAACATAAAAATTTGTTGTTGCTACACTTCCCTAAATTTTATGCGTAGACCTGTATCCTTTTATATGCAGTTAAAAGAAAAAAGGTTTTTATCTCCAGCACGTGAGACTGTGTATTGGAAATTCTAAAGATATAAACATTAAACCAGGTAGTTTGATTACCCATAACAAACAAGTTTCGTATCTTCCATCTACAAGCCTCAAATTATTTAACTAAATTTTCAGCTGCAACTGACAATTTGAATATGTAATTCTTAAAAATTTTAAATTGCACATCATTTCCAACATAAAAATTTGTTGTTGCTACACTTCCCTAAATTTTATACGTAGACCTGTATCCTTTTATATGCAGTTAAAAGAAAAAAGGTTTTTATCTCCAGCACGTGAGACTGTGTATTGGAAATTCTAAAGATATAAACATTAAACCAGGTAGTTTGATTACCCATAACAAACAAGTTTCGTATCTTCCATCTACAAGCCTCAAATTATTTAACTAAATTTTCAGCTGCAACTGACAATTTGAATATGTAATTCTTAAAAATTTTAAATTGCACATCATTTCCAACATAAAAATTTGTTGTTGCTACACTTCCCTAAATTTTATACGTAGACCTGTATCCTTTTATATGCAGTTAAAAGAAAAAAGGTTTTTATCTCCAGCACGTGAGACTGTGTATTGGAAATTCTAAAGATATGTTCTTTTAAATATTTTGTGATATTGCTGTTGGATTGTATTTTATGGTTTTAAGTGTGAAGAAGATATTTAATGAATAAAGTTAACACATAACACATAAAAAATAAAAAAAAAAAAAAAAAAAAAAAAAAAAAAAAAAAAAAAAAAAAAAAAAAAAAAAAATGCCTCTCTGAGCATAATATAAAATCTGAAGGCTTTGAAATTTTTTTTAATTACATTTTGAAAAAATGATTCAAATTTTGCAATAATCTTCAACAGAATAGCATGCAGTAGAGTGGTATCAAGAAAAGTATGACTTCTATGAAAATGGATAAACGCTAGCTGTGCAGTGTACAAAATTATGATAAATGATTTGTGTTGATTATTTAACTAAATAATCTGCTTTTCCAAACTTCTGCCAGAATGACTGCACAAGTTTGGTGAGATCTTCACTAGTTTTCATGGTACAGTCAAAAGTTGTTAATTCGGACACCCATAATCCGGAATGATCTATAATCCAGACCTCATAGCTAAAAACTTTCTGCATGCGCCGCATTGACACATGTGCATAGGCGTTTACGCGTGCGCGTAAGACCTTTACAACTGCGCATATGCGTGTGCGCAAGAGTAGAATACGTTTTCGCGTGTGCATTTAATGTATAACGGATGGTATAAGCTAAAATTATCTAATTATCTATTTCAGTTAATGTTAATGATTGCGTTGTTCCTTAATCTTCGAATTGGATGCGGCTTATTATTTTTTGCAGACTGTAAGAGCAATTTTATAAAAGTAAACTTGAACTTTCGATTATGTCAAATAGAATTTCCAATGCTGGAGCTTCCAAAGGATGTACAAAACGAAAGTATGTTTTGATGTCCATCAAACAAAAAGTGGAATTGCCGCAAAAAAATGGATAAAGACATGAAGAAGGTGACAGAGAAGTTAGTGAAAACGAAAAAATTTCGATTCACAAGTTAGTCGGTATTCTCGGCACAGCAATTACGGGACTTGAACAGCGGAACTTTGTAACTGAACAAGAAATTATGTCTGTTTATAGAATTAAAGAGAAAGTATTATCACATAAAACGAAACAACTTACATTGAAAGAAATGTTTAATAAAGTAAACAAATAAATATTAAGCTTTTTTTTTTTTTTTTTTTTAAATTTTGATACCCTTTAGATTATAATTGTTCTTTATTTCATAAATTATGGTTTCATATTTTTAATTTTAGAATTTCTGCATGCCATCTTACGAGATTTAAACTGATGATCTATAATCCGGAATCACCGAAGTCCCGACGAGTCCGGATTAACAACTTTTGACTGTATATGTAATTTCTTAATCAAGTATGGTGTTTTAGTTCGATATGCCATTTTTTTTTCCTTTTGAAATATTGCATAATTTAAATTTAGGCAGTTGATGACAAATAAAATTACTCTTTTTTTTAAATTTTAGACAGGAAATTTTTGTTCCATTCATTTGGCTTCTCTGCCTTGAATTACATTTTTTATAGGCTTGATTATCCAGAATTTGATGTTTCCCAAGCTTTCTGGATATACTATGAATAGCTCCTTTAAAATTGGTAATAGAATTATAGCTAATAAGCAGGGTCACCGTAATATTTATGTATAATTAATTTAGAACTGTTTTAATTTCTCTAAAAGTTATTTGTGATGTCTTTTTAGCAGTTATTGGAATAGAAAAGAATACATTATTAATGTTCATTTCATCCTCTGTTAATCTACCAATTTAATTTATTATATTTTGTTTCCAGATGATGATTATTTCCAAGTATTCTTCTGATACAATAATTTCATTTTCCATACCAAGATCACAAAGAATTTTGATTTCATGATTTAATCTTTTCAAAGTAATTTCCTTTAAAGTATTTCCTTTATTTGTTTCTACTATCTCACTGAATTCTTCAGTAACAAAAACTTTATTAATTCATTTAATTAAATTAGGTCTTACTGCGCTACATTCCTTTTGTGGCTTTACAAACTTCAACATTTTACAGAAACTTTGCTGTCAAACAAGGATATAAAAACAAATCTTACTTGCATTGCCTGTCAAATCCACAGAATTAGCAACTTTCATTCCATTAACATCATTGAGAGCTTACAACACTACTACTACTACAACTACGTATATCTCTTAAGTTCTTATATAACCCAGTTATGTTCTGTCACTTTGTGACTGCATTAAAAATGAGAAGTACATTCATGAAAATAACTCAACACTTTAATTATGTACACTTTAATATATTTAATACTAATAATAATTAATGTTATACCATTTGTACATTCTGTACCCACTACATTACCTCTACCTCTTTTCGCCTACTGAAGCTCTTATTAAAATGTTTTCTGCATCTATTTTATGGTTACTACAGTGCCTCTATAGGAGGTCTTAACGGATTAATGTTTTCTGCACCTAGTTTATGGTTACTGCAGTGCCTCTATAGGAGGTCTTAACGGATGCTATCTAAAATTTAGTGAAATTTTGCAGTAAAGTTGTTACTTCATATTAGGTCAATGGCTGAATTAGTAAATTTTGACATAAGTTGTTTGATAGTGCATGGTGAGAAAAATTCAGTAGGAGAATAGTATGTTTAAAAACTGTACTGCAAATCTTGATTTCTGAGCAAAAGGAAATTTAAGTGATCATTAGCACTGACCTCGAATGGGATATGAACTATGAACTTCTTTGAAAATGTTACAATCTGTGATCAGTCTTTTTTTTTTTTTTTTTTTTTTAAATTCCGCTATGACTGAAACTAAGCACCAATTCATGAAGTGCAAAAAATCCTCTTCACCAGGGACAAAGAAATGACTTTCCTCAATTCAGATCCAAGTTATTTTTATATATTACATTGCAGAGTAATTTAACTCTAAAAGAGATCAAAATTCGATTTTTGACCTTTTTTTAGAATTAAATAGGCATGTTGATTTGAAAACTTTAGTTAATTTTCTTCTACCCCTTCAAATTTTTTCTCTACACATTGTATGAATGTGACATATATGTGTGTAAACACTTTTTTTTTTTTTTTTTTTTTATTTCAGAATCTGATAAGGCGAAGCTCTGACATTACTAGAGAAACTGTTCAAAAAAGTGTTTGTGTAATTAGTAGAGTTCCTTTATATGGGTTAATTCAAGCCAAGTTAGAATTAATTACACATGCTTATTTTGATGAAAGAGATTTTAGTAAAGTATCACTTTTGGAGGAAACTTTCAAGAATTTGAATAGTTCTCTTCCCAAAGACTTTTCTGATGGCCAACAAGCATTTTTAGGTATGCCTTTTGTCATATTTTATTAAAATATATCTTTACTTCATTTCCTGTGTTAATTTTTTTTTTTTTTTTTTTTTTTTTGGTTTTATTAAATTATACAATCATTATTTAAGTAAATAATTATTAAATTCAGAGTGAAATAAGCTTTTTTTTTTTTTTTTTTTTTTTTCCAAAAATTATTATAAAGAATGAACATTTTGTTTCCTTATTACATCTATTGGCATAATGTTTCTAGACAAAATTAAAGGTGATTATTTGCAAGCAAAAATTTTTTTTATATAAATCGTTATTGACTAAGAAGCTTATATGTTTTTGCTTAGGCCATATTTTTATGAGCTGCTAATGTTTTCTGTGAGGTTACATTACCTTATAAATTTGATTAATTGTATTAACTTATTTTTTTAAACCTTTGGTGTAGGACTGGATACAGTTTTTTTAATTTGCATTATTTCTTATGTTTATCCAGCAAATCAACCCAGTTTTCAGTGTCCTGAAGTTTGTGTATGATAATTTTTTTCCCCTTAATTTTTAGATAAGCATGATTAAACTGCAGCTGAGAAATTGACTAGTGATAATTTTATGTTTGAAATGTATGTAATTTGAAACATGGCATGACATGCTTTGACATTTGGCTATGCAATGCTTTAAGCAATAAATAATTTAAGATTAGTCTGTATGTAATAAATGCAAAAAATTCATCTGCCAAATGCTAGTAATCAGAGTGATAACAAGAGACAAGTATTGAGATTGAAGTTTAGCAGGATTATAACAAATTTTCTCCTTTTTTGAATTTATCCTTACAAAATTGTGAAATAGGTTACTATATTCAATAACAAAAGGTGTTCGGTTTTTATATCGTTTTTATAGTGATGTAGATTCAGTTTTGCAGAATAATTTCTTTTATATTTAATTTTGTTTTCTGTTCTTTCTAAATACTAATTCTGTTTTGTTGTTTTTGTTATTAGTATGAATAGGAATTTAGTTTTAAAATCGGTCTAAATCTAAAAACAGATCTCATTGCAAGTACACCATAATACAGACATACCCCTCCCTAGTAACCTAAGAAAAGTTTTTGTAAGCAAACAAATGAGAATAGTTTTATGGAAATGAAATGTAAATATTCAAATCTGTATGATATAGGGCTACATATAAGTAAGATGTAGATGTAATAATATAATTAAAAAATCTAATGTGTACACCACATGACTTCCTTGTACGGAATATTAAATTATACGCATTTTTTCTTGCATTTCATTTAAACTTATTGGATTGAATTAAATCTACTTCGCCGACAGCGAAAAAATCACAATAGAATAAATGCATTCTTTAAAATTCACTCTAGTATTTCTTTACCATAGCGACACTCTGGTGCCAGATTCACTTAACAGTATTATATTTCGTTCATATTATAACTCATAATGCACAAAATTTATATCATTTAAAGAATAGAATTATCTAATCGTTGCCACATGTTCCATTCAAATACTATAATAAAGCTAGAATGATGTGTAAAAGAAATTAAGCAAACAAAACAAAAAAGAAACAGTTTTTCACAGATGATTGAGTATTTCTCATTCAATTAATTCAGTTCTCACTTCGCGAGAAGGCAAAAATACATAAAAACTCAAAATATCTATATTAGAAATTACGAAGTAAGTCTTAAACACTTATTTCCTCGAAAAAATTCCAGAAAGGATTAAGCATGATTTAATTGGTAATAATAAATGAAGGCGTCATCTTTGTTGTTGTGAAGCTCAGTTTCTCTAGATTGGCAACAAATCCACTAGTCTGCTGTTTCAAATGTAAACAATCAATGGCCACCGTAAAAAAAAAGGCTTAACGGCACTTTAACAAGGCATAAAAACTTTAACCGGAAGATAAAAACAACATAATTCAATAAATTTTAAAGCAAAAAATGTACAATTTACAAACATATAAGAGTAAAGAAACTCAGATCACTGAGCCAGGTAACAGAGTGGATATATATATATAAATATATTATATACGTTTGGTGCGGCCGATTGCAACCAAAATACGAGGTGCACATTTACATGTTATAGCAGTCCTATATACAAAATTTCAACATTCTGAGGCTACTCGTTTTTTAGTTATGCAAGATACGTATGTACAAACGTTCGTACAGACGCCACGAAAAATTCTCTTCAGAATTAATTTTAAAGCAGTTTATAATTTTTTTTTTTTTTTTTTTTTTTTTTTTAGGAAACGAGTCTTTTATTCTGTTCTTACGTACAGATATCACACAAAAACATCGTTAAATTGCATTCAATAGCGGTCAAAATGGATATTTTCTTTGAAATATGCTGCTTGAAACTTTTCGCAATTACAATACTTCCTTTTTACTTCATACAAGGAAGTAAAAATGATGCAGTTTCTTCCATCTAGTTTTTTTCACTATGGAAGGAAGATGGTAACCCTGATTTGGAAATAGGTGTACATCCGCTGTTATTAAATGGCATGAAAAATGTGTTAATTCATTTCATATCTAATGAATTGTTTGCATAATATAACTAGTGACCTCCATGTGTTGGTTCTCATGTTATCTGTGTATGAGAGACTAAATTATTACTTTTTAAATGAAAAATCTGTCTTGTATTTTATTTAGTTTTTTTTTTTAGTAAGTTTTCATATTTTGCTTTCAGTTCTTCTCAACACATTCAACTATCTCAACACTTTTTTTTTTTTTTTTTTTTTTGTTCTTTCTGGAAATTATTATTCTTTCCACAAGTATATGGAGTAAGAATAAAGAAAATCATGGTTGTGTCTTTTCAAAGCTATTTCTACTGTTTTGAAAAATACAGTTTTTTTAATTAAAATTTATATCTATGAAAATCAGATAACCAGAAGGAAATACTTACTTTTCTGTTTGAAGATAAAAATTTTATATATGGTAAAAGAAAATTAATTTGTGTGTTATAAAGATATCCTTTGCTAAATGTAAAACAAGAGGAGCAAGATTTTGGTGGCTGGCCAGTGTCTCAGCAACCCATGACATATGTTTTTAATGGGTGACAGATCTGGTGACCATGTAGAGTAGGTCAGCAGTCGAATACCCTGTGTATTGAGGAAGGTGAGAACACGACGTGCAACATGTGGTCTTGCATTTTGTTGTTGGAACATTTGGCAGGCCTTGAAGATAGGGCACAACCACTGGACATAAGATGTGAGAAATGTACCCATCTGCGTTCTAACAATCGATCTGAACTAGAGATGTGCATGTCATACCAAATGGCTGCTCAAATAATCACACCAGGTGCATGGTCCCTAGATGAGGTCCTAAGGAGGCGACGTGCTGTCTCCTCAGAGCCTCCAGACACAGATATGACTGTCAGAATACTGCATGCAGAACCGGGACCCGTGTGAAAAGACGACATTCTGCCACTCCCTATATCCAGCTTTGTCATTCGGTGCACCAGATTCGCCGAATTAATGGTCGCTGTGCTGATAGTCTGCACTGCTGGAAATGTCGACATACCGTACGATTGAATACTAGGGGTGCTGCAAATATGCCCATTTCCGGACTAATGGTCTGGGATATAGTTGTATGGTTTTTTCAGGGCTGACCTCACAATATGTCTGTTTTCTTGGGTGTTAATAATAGGAAGCAATTGAGTTCCTGCAGGCCATTCAGTTTGACTGTCAGCAGCCCATTGATTCTGTATTCGCATGACAGCAGTTGGATATCGACCAGTGTGATTGGCGATATCATGGAATGATAGTCCACACTCTTGATAGGCATCGGTGCTGCTTCTGTGGAATCCCGACACTTGCTGGTAATAATTTCTTATTATTATTCGAGGCATAACACGATATTCGGAGCAAACTTCAACCTTACAAACCTTTTTCCGAATGAGAAATCCACTACACAACTTTTCTTTTATACAGTGCTTCATATTTCTTGTTTTTTCTCCTGCATTATCTCAGTGCGCTGAAATACTAAGCATTTGCATATCTCAAACTCTTCTTCCTTACATATGATTTTATATTCGTCAGATCATTCCTTCCTGGTGTTGCCATTTTAATGACCAGCTCTTTATGTAGCGGTTGCTCTTAAATTTTCTAAATTTTACCACGCTGTTCCAACTGATAAAAGTTTGGTCACCCATGTTTTAGATATTCTGTTTATTTGATTTGAAAATCCTAATATTCAGTTCACTTGTGTATTCTAGTTAGCAGCCAATACACAGTAAGTCCGTAATCCGGACTCGTCGGGACTTCGGCGTTTCTGGATTAGAGGTTTTTCCAGATTATAGATGATCAATTTAAATCTGGTAAGATGGTATGCAGAAATTATGCAATTAAAAATATGAAACTGCAATTTATGAAATAAAGAGCAATTGTGATCTAAAAGGTATCATAATTTACACACACACAGAAAAAGAAAAAAAAGAGAGAGCTTAATATTTATTTATTTATTATTTATTTTTTTTTTTACCTTAATCAAACATTTCTTTCAATGTAAGTTGTTTAAGTTGCTTCATTTTTTGTGCTAATACTTTCTCTTTAATTCTATAAACAGACATAATTTCTTGTTCAGTTACAAAGTTCCACTGTTCAAGTCCTGTAATTGCTGTGTTGAGAATACCGATGAACTTGTCAATAGAAATTTTTTTGTTTTCAATAACCTCTCTGTCACTTTTCGCCACTATCAGATTTCGCCACCCGTTAATTGATTGATGATTGGGGGCATTGTCGTTGCAATGAAAAATTTCTGTTATATCATCTTCATTTATTACCTCTTCTTCACATTTCTTTACAAAATCCAATAACTGAAAAATTTCACCTTTAGTTTGCGATGTCCGAAAACCTTCAAATTCACGGCTATCATCTTCATCATCCTCATCATGAAATATGGTAGCTGGCCATAAATTATGTCAAGCATTTTTAGCATATCTAGAGACACATCCTCCCAACGTGCATGCGCATGCTTAAAGCATACAAAAAAAAAGTTTGTGGCTTTGAGGTCCGGATTATAGATCATTCTGGATAATGGATGTCCGAATTACGGACTTTGTACTGTATAAGAATTTTTAAATTCATTGGAATTTCAATTTTGGGAGTCTATTTGTTTCATTGCCATTTCTAAAAGCTGTTTAAATTTATTAATTGAAATGGTAATGCTGTTACATTTTGTGCAATATTTTATACCCAAAGATCTTTTTAATATACTACATAGACATAAATATACGTAATTGAAGCCCCCTCATTTTTAGATGATTCAAATGCTGGAAGAAAAAAAAACTAAAACTAGAAGAAATAATAATCATTGAAAGTTATTTAACAGCATTATTCTATGACTATAATTTTACCACTATTAACAGTATAACAATATCACTGTCATGACATTCCTTGATGAAGTTAATAATAAGTACTTTTGTATGCATTTTTGTCACCATATTGGTGCATTTTGGCTTATTTCTCAGCTTTAGCTCAGTATTAGATGAATTAGATTGATTAGGAAAAGCAACAAAGAACATTTTCTATTTTCATAACAAAATCCTCCAAAAACCCATTGTAAAGAAAGAACACAATTTAAAAAAAAAAAAAAAAAAAAATGTGAATACCAAAAATTTGTTGCCTTTGTCGATTTTATTATTAAGATAAAACAACAACAAGGCATATGCATCTCTTATTTAATTATTTCAATAACTGGTGTGTTATGGTTTATTTGAAGCAAGCTCTTGTTCTTAAAACTCAATAAAAGTTAACTGGTATTCAATAAAAGTTAAAGGAAATATACAGTAGTAATGAAAATAATGTATTCAAATACCTTTATCTCACTTGCATGATCAAATATTCATTATGGTTTAAAGAGACATTTTGATTTCATGAGGTGGTTACTGAAATACAGTCGTTCTTTCTGAAGAACATCTCTTTCTTGAAAGAAAAAAATAAATAAATAAATAAATAAATAACCACATCTTTATATCTCGGCAAATCCTAAGTCATAGAATCAGTTGTAATTATTAAAAAAGAAAAGGGAAAGAAAGAAAATTAAAGTACTTTTTATTTGTAAAATAGGGTCATCCTAGCAATAAATACAATTATTTCCAGAAATAAAGTAAAACAAACTTGTTAAACCAGGTGCTGAGGAAATACCGGAGTTAAGGAAAAGGAAGCAGACATGGCTTTAACGAAAAAGTACCAAAAAATGTACGGTTTTATTTTTAATGTTGTACTTTTTTTTTTTTTTTTTTTTTTTTTTTTTAGGACTTTCTGTTAGAGATTTTGTACTCAGGTTCAAGCACAAAACTCTACTTCTGTTTAAACTTCTTTTACTAGAACGAAAAGTGAGTATCTTTTATTTTTCATAGTATTTTTATTAAATGAAAATTGTAATTTAAAAATTTGTCAGCCTTTAATAAATGAAAATTTTGCAAAGTGTAAAGTAGGAAGGCATTTCACTCTATGTTGATATAATACAGTGAGACACTGTAGTGTTAGACCATACCTTTTTATAGTGAATGCAGAATAAGCTAGAGTTTATCATGGATATCATTTTTACCTTTTCATCAAGAGTAATATTGTGGCGGTGAGTGTTGGTTGGGGTCATAAAAGAGTCCTTTATAATGTAACAATAATTTATTAACAGATGTAAGTTAACATAGACATCACATATAATTTTAAGAATATTACAGAGCAAGAATCTGGTACAGGCGGTGAGTGTTGGTTGGGGTCATAAAAGAGTCCTTTATAGTGTAACAATAATTTATTAACAGATGTAAGTTAACATAAACATCACATATAATTTTAAGAATATTACAGAGCAAGAATCTGGTACAACCTAACAGGTTCATCTCTTGGCCTTTACTGAAAAGTCTTCCTCTGATTACTCACCAGAGGGCATCCTCATTGCTAGAGTTAGTCCAACTTAGTTTATTTTAACAGCAGAATTTACATTAAAGAATTGGTTACAGTATTACTTATTCTTTCATTCACTGCCTCTTGTAAATAGACTTCTCTGACAGAAGAGTATTTATCTAAATCAATTAGTTTGATAAATGTTATGAAAGCTATACAGTTTTAAATTAATGCTTTATTAAATGTTTCATCATAATTTTTATTAACTCATTTTATATAGTTCAGTTACAAACGATATTGCTAAAATAAATGTAGGTTTCTCTGCATTGAACAAATTGTTTACTTTTGAGTGTTTGTTATATGATGGCATTTAATGCTTGTCCTTGTACTTATATGCTATTGCATATTCTAAAATTTTTATTTTATTTGTAAGTATGCTATGTAATGAAACATAAAGCTTTATTACTGAAAAATTCTCAGTTTTTGCTGTTTAAAAATTATAATTTTCTGTCGATTTCACCATTTAGTGATTAATTAATCTCACAGCATTGTTGACATATTTAAAATCATGTTAGTATTCTACTATCTTCTTTAATATCTATAAAATTTTAATGCTGAAAACCTTTCAACCTTAACAATTATTTACTCCTTATCTTGATTTAAAATTCTTATTACCTGTAAATGTTACTTATTTCATGTGTATTATTAATCTGAAGATGTAGATGTAAGTGTAATCATTTTATTCATCCATTTTACTCAAATTATTGATTTACAGAATCCTTGATGCTTTTTTTATTTCAGCATTACTTTCACTGTATTCTTATCTTTTAATTATTTATTTTTCTTTTTCTTTTTTTTTGCTTAAAACTGCCTTTTATCTTAAGTGTGATGATAAGGAATAAATGCTTATGGTAAATGATGAAAACATTGCTACGAGGACCAGTAATAAATCTGTTTTTATCACTAAACTTTGAACAAGCCAAATTTTACCTTACAATCTTTTAATTGACACAGACATCAAAAACAGAGTTTTGAACTGTTAAATGGAAGAATACAGTAAATTTAACATGTAAAATGTTTAGCAAGTGACTTAGACCATTTATGTCATTCAATACCGATCTGATACCATTGAGAGAAAATGTTAATTTTATTCATTGCTAATATAATATATTCAATGCTTGTTCACTGTAATAAAAATAAAGGAGAAAATATAATAAAAGAACATCCAAAACCAGAAACTTTTGCATGAAATATGCTTAATAATTGCCCTAGTGCTAGACAATGTATTGTGAAAGCAATTAATATTGTGATTTTTAAAAAATTAACTTTGGTAAACAATACTGTATTAATTTTCGATAAGTGTCCCTTTTAACAGTTATATTTATCTAATATAAAGACAGTTTTTTTTATTTATATAACATCTTGAATCATAATAGTATGATTGTCATTTTATGCAGCTGTGAAATTGTTAATAAAATGTTAAATATTTCACTGATGTAATTTTTTTTGTGGGGGGGGGAGAGGCCAAGAAATTTCTTTAAAAAAAAAAAAAAAGCTCAGAAATTTATTTCCATTGACTTTTTTTTAAGTGTCTTCTTTTGTTGTTTAGAAGTCATATTAACAAATTATATTATTAAACATATGCTAATAAGTAAAATTAAAATTTTATTGAAGCACATTTTCTAATTCTTTTCTGTTCAATTTTCCCTTTAAAGGTTTTATTTTATAAAGCACCAGTTAAGAATCTCTGTTCAACTGTCCTCACACTTTGTTCTCTGGTTCCTGGTAAGTTATATTTTATTTTATTTATTTTTTTGTCTTTAGAAAACAAATATGCTTTATAGTGCCTGTACTGAGTAAAACCTTTAAAATAGATTCCATTTCAATCGTTAGAGTATATCTTTAATTTAGTTAATCCTGAATTGTCACTTGTGTAAAAATTTTATTAATTAAATCCTGATTAATCATTATATATTTTATTGATTTTATATCAATAAAAAATACAATTTTAATTATATACAATATAGTTAAATTAAGTGAGTTACAAATGGAACTGTTTAAATTGAACTCTCATATTTTGTGGGGAATCTGAAAAGTATCTTAATTATCCTTGTTTAGTACTTTTTGTTAACCAAACAAATTTTTAGTGTGCCTTTGCAACAATAGATGGCACCTCATAATTAAATTATGATTGCTATGATAATGAATCTTTCAAATATGTGAGTTATGTGTTCTATTCTTTCTTGTTTTTTATTGTTACAGTGCTTAAAGTGATGTGTGCATAAAATGCTGTGTTGTTACGTGGACGGCATTTCTTCTATTCCAAAGTGTTATGTAAAACAAAATAAGTGATACAGTCCACTTTCTTTCTGGCATCTTATTCCTAATTATTTTTTGATTTTGGATCTTTTTTAAGTTCTCTTTTTATTATAAGGGCCTTAATGTTGTATATAGGATGCATATGTTTCATTGTATCTTCAACAACTCTACATTCATGCTGTTAAGGCCCCAAAGGCAGTAACAGTATTATCTTGCACAAGAACATAGCAGTTTGTAACGAGTTCTATGGCCTTTAATGTAGTTCTATTTGGGCCAGCTAATTGTTGCATTCGCTTTAAGAAGCTCTGTCTCTTTCTGACCATAGATTCAATCTTTATAATATCACAACCAATATTATCGTCTAATACACGTATTGCCTGTTCATATAGAACACTTCTAGCAGGAAGCTTTATCACATCACTGGCTTTCAAAATGATGCATGGATCTCAAGTTTTCTTGGTAGTTAACACAGACATGCTACCTTCCACTACATCAAAATTAGCCATCACACCATATTCAGAGAAAGAATTTTTCACCACAGGTCAGCACTCTCTTGGCAGTATCAAAAAATCCGAAATAGTCTGCTCTATAGATGATAATTCCTTGTACTGATACATTGAAGCCTCTATACAAACCACATAAGCCAGCAGATTTGAAAATTTTGAAAAGGCAGTTGCCAAGTCCTTTGAATTCTCGATCAGATGCAGCTTTACCAATATCAGCAGCTAATCGTGTTCTAGCGAATTCCAGAGAATCCACAAAGCAGAGTGAAGTTGCTGCAGGTGCACTGCCAGATGCAATATTACCCAAGAAGCAATACCAAAATTGTGTTCGCTTATCAACTCCTCCGAGAAAAACTTATTTTTCTTTATCTTTAAAAGAAAAATTTAAGGCTTGTGTTGGAAAAGATCTTAATAACATTGGCCAGATTTCCTTTGTATTTTTGACCCTTTAATTCTTTACCTACTATTTCTATATGATACAGACTGGACAGATGAAGTCTTGCACAAACAAAGGGCGATAAAATGCACTAGAAGGGCAAGATGGAGTGAAAGCTAATTTGTAGGCCCTTTTTTTTTTCTTTTTTTTACTAATACTTAATGATAAATTTTCTTACAATGGAGATTGTATTTGTGTGTAATTATGGGCAAATTATGTATCTTGTATCATAAAATGTAAATGAGTAGGAATAAGGTGACAGAAAGAAAGTGGACTGTATCACTTATTTATTTTACATAACACTTTGAAATAGAAGAAGTGCCGTCCATGTGACGACACAGCATTTTATGCACACATCACTCTTAAGCGTTGTAACAATAAAAAAACAAAAAAGAATAGAACACATAACTCACATGTTTGAAAGATTCGTTACCATAACAACCATAATTTAATTATAAGGCAGTAGCACCATCTATTGTTGCAAAGATACACTAGAAATTTGTGTAGGAGCAAAAAGTACTAAACATAACCCCCGACCTTGAGGCCTTCTAAAGGTTCAAAAAAGGAAATAGTTAAAGCACACATAATAACATTAACAAAAAATTAATTGAAAATTCAACAAAAATTTAAGTTGAAAGATATGAGAAAAATCAATAGTTCGTAGCTCATGTTAGTCATGATTAGGGGATAAGACACAATTTTGTAACAGTGTTTGAAATCACAAGTGGCTGTATGGACTGTAGCCACTCAGGTCTTTCTTGTCGTTGCCTGGATAAATTAAGACAATTCTTCCAGTTTTTCCATTGGTTTGGAGGCAGTTGTTTGTTTTTGATCTGAACCAAGTCACTACATTTTAGATTTGGAGATGCACGAAATCACTTAGCACGTTCCTGAAGGGCTGTTAAATACATTGCACACCATCATTTCCAAAAATGTTGTACTGTCTGTTGAACTAAAGACCGACATTTAAGTCTTGAAGATTTAACGTCTCTCAAGTCAGATTCAAGAATGGCAAGCAAAGGGACTCCAATTAGAAAATGACCAGGAGTCAACGCACTAAAATCGTTTGTATAACTAGACATCGCACATAGAGGACGAGAATTCCTACACGCTTCCACTTGTGTAAGCACTGTTAAAAATTCTTCGTAAGTTAGAAGTGTGGATCCTAAAACTCGTTTAAGATGGAATTTTAAGGACTTCACCTTAGATTCCCACAAGCCACCGAAGTGAGGATATGTCAGAGGATTAAATAACCACGTTATACCTTTTGAGTTAATACTGAGTTACATACTTCCTTACTTCTCTTGATGTGAGCTGCATTTTTGTAAATCTCCTTCAGTTTCTTACAAGCACCTTTGAAGTTAGTAGCACAGCCACTCGAAATTTCAGATGGTTTGCCTCGTCGGGCAGTAAATCTTTTTAGAGCTGCTAAAAACATTGAAGTTGGTAGATCACTGACTAACTCCAAGTGTACAGCTTTTGTTGAGAAACACACAAAAATGGATATGTAACACTTAAAAGTTTTAGCTTTTCTCCCAACTTGGGACTTAATTGAATATGGACCAGCATAATCAACACTGGTGACTGCAAAAGTTCTTGATGGTTGAACTCTGGACAAGGCTAAATCACCCATTATCTGGGTCATAGGCTTGCTTCGATTTCTAATGCAAGGAATACATCTGGGAATTCTCTTTCTCACTACACTTCTCATCGAAAGAATCCAAAACTGCATTCATAAAGTGCTTATCAATAACACTTGACTAGCATGTAAATAATTGACAAGGTAATGATTTACGATGAGATTGGTGACATGTCCTTCCTTTGGAAGCAAAATAGGATGTGTAACTATTTTCCAGAATGTTTGCATTTTTTAAGTGACCATCTACTTGAATGACGCCTTCTTCAGCAATAAAGGGAGTTAATTGTATTGCTCGACTGCTCACCCTTTTTAATTCTCTTGATATTTTTAAACAAGAGAGCTCTTGAAGAAAATATTATTCTTGGACATTTTTTATCACCATTTTTGTAGTTAATCTAAGCTCATCGGTTGTCAGAAAAACCTCTCAAACGATTTTCGGTGGAGTTTCGACAGTTGTAAATGGATCTTAGGTGTAAAGCAACTATATGACGTAATTTTGTGTAAGATGAATACTGTTTAAAAATGTCAATTTCCTTTACTGTACAAGATACTGAAATGCACGTTTTTCTCTCTTCTCTACGAACTCCTTCATAATCTACATTAGCACAAAGATGTTTGCTGTCAGGACATGTTTCAAAATCTTGGGAATATAACCAAGTAGGTTCCATGAACCATCGCTCGCAATTCAGAAATTCGACTAGAAACATTCCTTTTGTACCTGAATCAGGCTGGGTTCATCTTTCCATTGATATGGTTTCACCTTACTTTAGGAATTGTATTCTGTATTTTAGCAACATGGTTTGCAACAAAGGGAACTCAACAGTATGGTTATGCAGAAATCCAGGATAGTCTAATGGCTGAATCTGTCCAGGCCAAAACATTACATATAGGAAGTTCTAAATGTTAATGTTAAATGTTCGAACTGGTTTAGAATGTTAAATTTACTAACTGATATAAATAAGTTTACTAACAAAACTGCAGCGCATAACTCTAATCGTGGTAGTGATTGCACCATCAGAGGCACAACTCTCGTTTTTGATGTTAAGAATGAGAATCTGATGTCCAAATTATGTGATAGCGAACGCAAATAAATTGCTGCACAGTAGCCTTTCTCGGAGGCATCACAAAACGCACAAATATCAATATAGTTTATGTCAGGAATCAAAACAAATCTTGGTATTTTTAATTGTTGAATAAGATGTAAATCATTTCGGAAACTCTTCCATTTGTTAGCAATCTCATCACTAATATGCTCATCCCACAATAAATGGAATTTTACATGTCTTGTATCAAGACGTTGACATAAATAATACAAGGAGCAAGCCAACCCAATGGGTCAAAATTTTTCGCTAAATCAGGAAGAATATCTCTTTTGGTGTATTTAAACTTTTCCCCAGAAATGGACACAGAAAAGTTAAAGTATTCTTCATGGTGGTTCCAATTAATTCCTAAAACTTTGATTGAGCTATTGTCTTGAATTTTCATTCCCTCAGAATCATTTCTCAAGTCCTTGGATATATTCTCTAACACTGGCAAGTTGTTGGATAACCATTTACGCAGAAGAAATCCTCCACGTTCTAACATTTGCAAGAGTTGATTTAGATTTTTGCACTCTTCAGTATTTTGAGCACCTACGAAACAATCATCTACAAAAAAGTTATGAAGTAAAGCCTTCGAAGCTAAACAATAGTTAATCTGATCATTGTATGCAAGTTGGTATAAACAGCAAGTAACCAAATAGAGTGGAGGCAGTGCCATATGTGACAGTATTAAGTCAAAATTCTAGAATAGGATCACTTAAACTGTTCTGCCAAAATATTCTTTGAACGTTTCTATCCTCTTCATTAACTAGAATTTGTCTAAACATTTTCATGATATCTGCTGTGAC